GCCTTAGTGAAAGTGAGACATGTCTGGCTCTTTCGAATATCCACAGTGGGGCATGTGGAGCCCATTAGATTGGACACAAGATGAAATGGGTACTATTAAGATAGGGCATTTATTGGCCAACAATGCTAAAAGATTGCATCGAATTCGCTAAGGGTTGTCAAAAATGTCTGGTTCATGCAGGTATTTAACATGTTCATGCAAGTGAACTACACTTTAATATCAAGCCTTGGCCCTTTAGAGGATCGGCTTTGGATCTGGTTGGAGAAATTTGACAAGCGTATTCAAAAGGTCAAAGATACATTTTATTAGGGATTGATTATTTCACTAAATGGATTGAGGTCATTCATTTTGCAAATGTAGATCAAGAAGCGGTAATTGAGTTTATCCAAAGGAATATAATATACATGTTTGGAATTCCTGAGACCATAAAAAGTGATCAAGGGTCAGTGTTTACTAGTCGAAAGATGCAATTATTTGCCAAATAGGTGGGAATTAAACTACTAACATCCACACCTTACTATGCCTAAGCAAACGGCCAGGTCGAAGCGGCAAATAAAATAGTGATTGGTTTAATAAAGAAACATGTGGGAAAGAAGCCAAATAATTGGCATAAGACCTTGGATCAAATCCTTTGGGCTTGCCAAACATCTCCTAAAGAGGCTACCAATATTTCACCCTTTAGACTAACATATGGTCATGATGCGGTATTACCAATCAAAATATGTCTACACTTAACCAGGATGAAGTTATCTGAGAAAATCTGAAGAAAATGGGTTTGGGGGATAGCGAGAGAAAGTAGTTGGAAGAGAGAAAGAGCCAAGAAACTTTGGTTAAATGAATTATTTTTTCCTTTTGAGAAGAGGTAACTTAAAACATCAGAGTTACGGAGATGAACTGTCGTTAGTCACTAGGCTTAATGACGATACACACATCCCATTAATAATCATCATTATAAGAATGTCTCAAAACAACAAACGTCCCAACAAAACACCAGCATACACATGTCAGAGAGAGAAACCTCCATCATCGTTTGAATGTCCAATTACCATTTGAGTTTGCATCGTGGTTTGATCCGCTACCCAGTCAAAAGTGTATTTCAAGACGCCAAGTAACTTAAGAATTTTGCCCATACTAAGCCTCGTGCTTGGGAGGTTATTTACATTTAGGATGTATATCCCGGATAACTCATTAAGTCGCCAATGTGCATCTGGGATGTATATCCCGGATAACTCACCCAGACGGTATATTCGAATTATATTCCAAGTTGCCAAGTAACTTTAGTATTTCACGCTGAGGGATATGTACATTTGATATGTATATCTTAGGTAACTCATCAAGTCGCCAATGTGCATCTAGAATATATATCCCGGATAACTCACCTAGACGATAAGTTCGGATTCTATTATCTCTCATAGTCAATAACCATGCTACCAACAAAAAAGTTCATTCTGATTAATGCTTGATTTCTAATTTTCTTAAATGTTAGTTATGAGACAATGAGATTGTGGTTGGTAGAGTTTCTTTCTTTGAGGATCTTCAATCACTACAAAAAAATACTCTCATTTGCGATGTGAAATTCACGTCACAACGTGAAAAATCACGTCACAACTCCTAATTTGCAACGTGAGTGATCACGTGGTTGGGGAGCGGGTGGCAATTTATTTGCGACATGATTTTCATGTCGCAAAGTTGTGACGTGAAAGTCACGTCGCAACATACTTTTATAGAAATTCTGAACCTGTAGGCACACTAGGAGGGGAGGCAGAAAAAGCAATTTATTTGCCACGTGATTTTCACGTCACTAATTAGTGACGTAAAAATCACATCGCAAATTAATAACCTTTAACACTTTCTCTTTGTTCAACTTTTGTTTTGTTTATATAAGAAATAAGTTGCGACGTGATTTTCACGTCACTAATTTGTGACATGAAAATCACGTCATTAATCTTTTTCTTTTTTTTTTAAATTTATTTACTAAAATTTGTTTTTCTTTTATAATTAATTAAATTAATAAACTAAATTAATAAATTCAATATATAATAAACTAAATTAATAAATTTAACATATAATAAATTTAATATATTAAATTTAATATAATATATATTATTAAACTGTTTATATATATAAAAATATAAACTTTCATTCTTTTTATTATTATTAATATTTTTTATATTCTGTTTTATAATATAAATAACATATATTTAATAAATATAAAATAAATTTGTATAATATATACATAATTTTGTTTTAGATAAAATTATAAAATATATTTCTGTTTTATTTTTCATTTATAAAAATTATAATATTAATCTACTAACAAATTTTACAAAATAAATATCAAATTTAACCTAAATAATCAATCAATAATCCTGGAAAAATATCAAATTTTAAAAAAAAATTATAAAATATCTCTCTTGAATCTCCTTCAATCTTCTTGTTCTATCTTTTTAAAATCCTCTTCAATGTTCTTCGATCTTCTTCTTATCAATTTCTTGAAAAAAATTAACATAAATCAAAATCATATTACAGAATAAACATTAAACAAAATTATAGAAAAAAATTGAAACAAAATTAGAGAAGATGATTACCTTTGAAAATTTGAGGTGGAATAAAAATCAAAATTGAAGAAGATAGAGGTAGAAAGAAAAAAGATGAAATAGAAAAGAAAGAGGGAATGAAAGAAGAAAGAGAAGATAGAGAAGATCTGTGAAACGAAAAAATATATAAACAGTCGCAACCTTACCACGTGATTATCACATCGCAACATCTCCAACGATCATAAATAAACTACACCCATTGCGCGCAGTCAACATCAAGCAGATAGTTTTCACCCCTAAAAGGTTGCGACGTGAATTTCACGTCACAACTTGAAATTTGAAATTTTTAAACTTTCCACCATGTGCAGGTTATAACTTTCGGAAGTTTATTTAAATTAATGGGTTGCGACGTGGGATTCACGTCGCAACATTTTTTATAAAATATATTTTCTGACTCTTCATTTGTTAACGTTATTTTTTTATATTTTATTATTAAAATTATGTAGCGACGTGATTATCACTTCGCAATCTGCCACGTGATAATCACGTCACAACTTCACTTTGCTGAAGAGCGTTTATTTTGTAGTGAATGGATAGTGACTTTATTACCTATTAGAGTTGGGAGGTTGAATTTGTATATAGTACCTTGTACACTTTTGTGTCTTTTAAAGTCTAATCTTAAGTGTTACAAAATCATATATTGAAAAACAATGAAATGTATAATATAAACTCTAATTTTGACAAAACTTTGAACGATATTAGTGGTATGATATCATATTTTGGCCTTAACAATTTTACTAGTAAAAACATTGTCCCCACTAAAGCCCAACAAATTTTGATGAGTGCTTTTTTAATGAACGTGTTCATGACGTGAAAGTAAAATTCGACATAATCACATGACACAAAATAGTTTTTATTGATGGATTGATCCAACACATGTCATTAATAGAGTAGCATACTATCCTTAAATACCGTCTTATAATTCTCTTATTTTCTATCGGTGAAATTTTGTAAAATGTGTTTGAATTCATTTGAAGAACACTCATTTCATTATAGAGATGTATTGACATGATTTTGTTCGAGATGTCATATTTGTTATATTTTGACAGCAAAAATATTTGTGAAGAAAAAAACACTTGACCCACAAGACAGAAGATCAATATTTAGACCAACAAAAGTTATAGCGTATGAGTAGGTAGGATGAAAACATATAAGTGTAAATTTGACTAAAAAATTTTCATTGTAGGATGAAGATTGGAGATTTTATCATAGGATAGACAATATTCAAAGTCACTTCAAATAAAGTGATCAAACATGAAAATGTATGTTTGAACAATCAACATACTTACTCCCTCCGTAACAAATATATCAAAAATATCAATTTTGCTTATAATTCATTAGAGGGAGTAGATATCATTTACTTTTGATATTTTTAGCTTCCTAACACCAAAGATAGTGAATCTCTAGCATAAAATTCAAAAGCTCATACATAGTATTGCGTCTCTTATAGAACTTTATTTTAATCAGACAATAAAAAATGCACCGTCCATACAATTTCGATTACATACAACCGGATCCACAGTTTTGAAAGCAAGCACACAATTCAAATCCCCCCATCACGTGCTTATAGTTTTTATTAGACGATCAGAAATGCACCATAGGTGGGACTATATGCAGTTTTGATTGCATGCACAGATCCGCAGTTTTTAAAGCATGCACTCAATTAAAATCCCACTATCGCATGCTTATAGTAGAGTAATAAAGAAATTGTTAGTCGACAAATAATAGGTAAAATTCAAAAGAGGTTTACACAAACAAAACACAGTAAAAGAAATTGGTCACAACAGGTTTTCGAATTGCTTGTTGACTCCATTTGTATGACTAGCAATCATAAAAACGTTCAACAAACAAGTGAAATGGAGTCATCTGAGCTCAGTACAGGCTGACATTGTCATTGCATAACAGAAAACACAAATTCAAATTTTAAAATCAAACTTGTAATGGTGAAAATAAAATAGGACTAACTATATATGGCACTTTTAACTTGAAGGCTTGAACAGATAATAACAATGGCGGAAAAGAACTTTGAAAGCACTTGGTTGATTTGATTGCTCTACCAAATCCAGATTCTAACTTTAATTTCAGTTAAGATACCTCAAGACGGACCAAAGACACAGATTGTAGAAAGTTTGACTACAGAAATGGTACATACACATAAGATGTAAAAAATGGCACTACGAAACAAAATTGCTCAAAAACAAAATCTTCAGTCTATAAAACTCAAGCATGAGATAGCTTTGATAGTTGACACTATATTGAGGTGTTGTTACATATTTCAATCATAACAATATTTGCAGAAAACTGCAAACAGATTACTCAACAGCCATATACAATTGTATCCGCTTCAAACTGTATTCTAGATCGGAGTTTGAGTAAATTCAAACTGAACCTCGAGGGATATAACTATATTTCTTTTCCTTTTCCTTTTCCTTTCAACCATTCAACAAAATTGTCAATGATCACTGGCCAGGCTAGACTGGAATCATATTCTTGGAGATCAGTAAAGCTTACCTGGCAGCAATAAAATGTTAACACTTTTCCTGAGTACAACATCTTGAATTGAAGAGAACACTAACATCACCAATCAAATTACTTTCCTAAAGTGCACAACTTATGCAAAATAGTAATACACATTATAGACACAATTAGAGACATGTTTCACAACATCAGAGACCATATCATAAATATGCAGATTAGAGTGCACATAAGTTAGCAATAACAACAGTCTTATTCAACTGAGTGGAATCGGCAACATAGATCAAATGCCAATATAATACTCCATCATAAATCATATCTCTAGTTAAACCATTGACCACCAAGTCTTTCTTTTTAATTTCTACCAAATGAGTTATATTTATTCAAGCTCGAATCATTAATGCTCAATCAAGTTTTGTTCGATTAACTAAAGAACAAGCTTGGACCGTGATATAACTGAACTAAGTACAAGCTTTATAAGCTTTGACATTAAAAGCTCATGAATATGAACGAGTGTGTGTGTCACTAAAATAACAAAAATGGTCATATTAGATAACAAAATAAGTGTAAAAACAGAAAATGATAAAATGGGTATAAATAATATATATTAATAATAATAAATTATATATTTCTGTTACTAAGTAAATCTTAACTCTATCTAAGGAATAATTATCCCCTTTACGTTCTTTTTCTAGTTTTTTATTATATAATAAATATACAATTAATACATTTACATTATTTCAAGAGAAGTAAGCTAAACAAGGCTTAAAATTTGACTTGTTTAAATAAGTGCGCTGTGCGGGGGGAGATTTCAATCCTCTTTTCACATACCAAGCCTAAGATTCAACTTGACTTATTTTTCCCATACAAATTTTATTGAATTGTAAATAACTTTAAAATATATGAATATTTTGAGCTTATTTTGCAATTGAAAAAGTTAGATTTTAGACCTGACTAGATCCCCAAAAACTGACAAAACCAACATGTAAGGATGGGAACGTCTAGACTTTACAAGCTTTGAAGAGTCCTTTTCTCTAGCCTATGTGTAACTTGGGTTTTTTCAAACACCTTGGCATCCAGCAATATTGTGCTTGGTACTGTTGTGGCCAAATAACAAATCTAAGATAAACTTAATACTATTTTAGGTTTTGGACCATTTAGAGGGAGAAAAAATACAGTAAACTCACTAAATTCACAAATTACAAGACTTTCATATAAATAAATCACACATAATAGGCAAAATAATGTGAATTTCTTATTATGCATATTAAATTTAGCAACACATAATATTTGCAAAATCCCGATTTTGACAATCTTGCTAGTCATCATCAAAGCAAATAACAAAAAGAAAGGAAATGTGAACAAACATTCCTTCCTATAAAGAATTTTACTCTAGAGGATTAGACTATCAATTTTACAATAATTATTAACTTAAACTCCAACAGACCATAATCAGATAGAAACGCAACCAGAAGTGAAAAATATACAAGATATAAAAGTATTCCAAGAAAGGGTAAGACTAAAAAAAATGAGTGTTACCTCTTTAAAAAACCGATAAAAACTTATCCAGTGATCTCTGCTTAGCGCTCTGTAGTCATTCTGGATCTGTCAAGAAAAACACAACCATCCGAAAATAGTTTTATGAATATGGTTTTAAAACTCTTTAATTAAGACTTTCCGCCCAAACTACACAATTTTCGAGTGCATAATACGCAGGGTAGTTGGAAAATTTTCTTCCATCACTTGATTTCATATTAGATACCTTCCAAAGAAAAATATTTCAAGGAGGTAACCAACTTTGTATCATGAACAACACAATAAACAAAACATTATGCATACGAATGGCCACAAGTATGGAAAATAACTAATACAAGAAAACAACTAATTGATATTCTTCATAATCTAACATGTTTGTGCTTGACATCAGTGAATGTCTCTGCTGTACCCAATTACATACAACTTACAAGATCAAACACAGAGCTGAGCAGCATAAAGTAGCAATAGAGGATTCAACAAAATAAATATAAAACACCTACTCACCTTTAGATACTCGGTTAGTAAATTGACTTGAGAAGGGAATTCAGATCCCAGAAGAATATTTAACAGCTCACATATGGTCTCAATATCTATGCTCCTTTGCTTATCCTCTGGAAATATTAAACAATGTTCAAACAGATTCATAGAGTGAGGAACAAAAACATCAAGGCAGCAATATAATTACGGATCACAACAAATCTGGGTTATAGTTGTAAAATAAACCCAACAATACTAAGCTTACCTGTGAGGCAGTATTGAAATGCATAGGAATAAAAATCCTCAAAGCATTCTGGAACCGTCACCTACCCAAGATACAAAGGAAATAAATTGCATCAAAAACCTTCTTAGGGACATCCATAATAGATGGCTAGTCTCAACAAGAACACAGTAACTTAATTAAGTATTTTATAGCTGAGAAAGGAAGAAACCTCTTTCTTCAGTCCATTTATTGCTTTTTTTAATTTTGGGAATGTGTCCGCCCCTAAACTTTTGAGACCTTTTCGCCATTCGTCCTATTCAGAGAAAGAAAGAACTGTGAGCAGGAAATATCAAAAACCAAGTATTTTACACAATATCAAGTTACCTATTTCACTTATATTGATTTCATTGTTAGCTACTAAGAAATTAAATGAACAAATGAGAAATGGAACCACTCTTCATCTTGGACTCACATGCAGACACACAGTTTAAACCATTGCATGCCATAATACTCTTGCACCATTGAATAACTTTTCACTGCTTAAAAGATTTAGAGCTGGATTCAGAGTTCATGGATACAAAATTCGTCTGTACTTCATCAATATATTAACTTTATATATACTTATAAATTATATGAAAACAAGAATCATTTAATTAGAACATTACTGTTATACAATATTTCCAAGACTTACAAAAAAATATTCATGCCAGTGGAATAATAGGTAATAATAGTTCAACAGTCAGATCAATAAAAAGCTGTGTGTGTGTGTGTGTGTGTGTGTGAATACATACGACAAAACATATAAGTATTAAGCAATGCAATCCATAACAAGCATGAAAATGATCCCGTGTGTGCAGTGTTGTCAATTGCGAATCAAAGAAAATAACAATTTGTTCAAATTACGCTACGCTTCAAGGCTATAGAGCCACAATAGTCCCTGGTTGACAGTGCAATTTGTTCAAATTTCACTATGCCATAACACAACACTACGTATAAGTGTGTTTCATGGAAAAGAAAATGGGGAATAAATGGTGCATGCGTGCTTGTATATCTCAATATTTTAAGTGCTATATTACTAAAAAAAATATTGTGAACCAATATAATCTTTACCAACCTTAGAAAAATAACCCTGCTTTTCTGCTTTCAGTTTCCTGATAAGAAAGACATCAATTACAACCAATCAAATATCAATTAAGAAAAAAGAGAAAAAGAAAAAAAAAAACATAGTCAAATAATTACCAAGCAAGTATCAGCATTCTAACATCAGTATGGTCCACATTAACATCTTTACAAAGTGCTTCAATCCCATCTGGGCTGGCCAACAAAACAAAAAAGTATAAAAAATTGCAACAACAGTCACATAAGCATAACAAATTAACATTAAAAAACAGTAATCCACAATTTCGAATCTTGAAATTTAAATAACTGTCGCGGCTGCATAAAGGCTTTCGCAATCTCAGTCAACACGGTGTTGCAATACTGATTGCAGTCACCGGAGTGTGAATTAACAATAATAATAACAAGATACTTACTCAATCAAACCCATTGATTTATTTGCATACAAACCAAACAGTTTATCTATTCGTTCAAATTGCTTCGTAGTTGTTCTCTTCGTCTCTGAATAATCACAGCAAGAAATTAAAGAAATTAAAAAACAATCAACATAATGAAAAAAACGATTCGGCTATAAAATCAATACATATTACTAGATCAAGCAAGATCGAAATTCTTGAAATTCGTCGTATGAAAAATCATAATCACGTAATTAAGATTAATTGAATTAAATCAATAAGTGCTTTTCGTGATTGTTTCTGATTGTGAAAACGAGAACCAATGAGAAAAGAGGGAACAAGAAAGTGAAGTACCGGTACGAATAGAAGAATCGACGTCAGAAGAAGTGATTGGTGGGACCGCTTTTCGTTTGGGACGAGGCATGTTCGTCGCGCAATGAAAAATTGAGAATCGAACAATGTTGAATCGATGAGGAAGTGAATCGAAAGTGATGATGCAGAAAGAAGAAACCCTAATCAGTAGAAATGGTGATATGAAGAGGAAGAAGGAGAGTCAGGTTCGGAGAATGAAGGTTTAGCTGGGGTTTTATTTGGTTTGCCGTTTTTTTTTTCCCTGATAATTATTATTATTATTATTATTGTAAAACAAAAAAAAATTTATATATTTTGGTTCTATTAAATTTTAATTCATTCAGTTTTCTAAAATTTGAAAGCAATTTAATTATATTTAAATTTTTAAATAATTTTTATTATTATGTTTGCAGCTTCAGGTTCTTCGGAATTTTCAACAAAGTTTCAAGGTTTTTTTTCAATTTTTTGACCCCTTTAACAGTTAAAAATGAAGTTTAATTTATAGGCAAATGATTTATAAGCTTGGAGAAGTCAAGAGTACAACCATCATATGTTATGGATGGTTGACTTATTTTTGAAGCAAGTTTAGACAAGTATGGTTCAAGGCAAAATAGAGTGGTTAGCAGCTTTAACTACGCCTAATCTGATTTTGTAGGCATGATTTGTGGAGAGTACACTCAGAAGCAAAAGTAAAGTATGGGCCCAACATAAACTTTGTACAAAAGTTTACTTTCCAAGGACAACAATAATACTTCTATGCCACAAGTGGGAAAATCCTTTGGATAAAGACTCAAAAATGGGTGTGAGCATTAAATGATGATGAGATTTAACAAGCAAGAAGATCTGTAACCTGAGATTATGCATCATAGTTTGAAACTGGATTAGAAGTTCAGCATAAACGTAACTTAAATTAAGAACAGATGTCCAACTTTTGATCTTTAAATCTCCCTGCTCCAGCATGATCTGAAGGAGTTCTCGGACTTTCCAAAAAGCTTGTAACATGCTTTATAGCCCCTCTTTGAATCATCTTAGCAAACTCTGATTGAACCTACGTGAAAACTGGCCCAGAAGTTCTAACCAGATTCTGTCTTGGAAATGCTCAGAATTTACTAAGTGTTTTAGTTTCATGGACGTGTCTTCAAAGATTTATAACTTGAAATCCCAACATTTCTAAGGGAAACTCTGTTCTGCAATGTTTTAGATCTCATTGAGATCTACAACTCTGGTGTCAGAAGTTCTTCCTGAATCATCTTGCATTATGATGAAAATCTGGCCAGAAGTTCTAAACTTATCATATTTCTTAACACGTAGAAAAATTTCTAAGTGTTTAGAATTTTGACTTTATCCAAAGTAATTTTGACTTTTGATTTTCTTAATGAAACAAAACTTCATATTCTAACATGTCTTAATGAAATATGATTCTTGAAACTTAATTTTGATCCAAAAGTCAAAGTTTGACTTTTTAGTGTGCATTTTGACCATTTTGCCCTTGTGCCAATTCCAAACCTAAATTGATATATTAGTGTTGCAAACTTGAGTCATGGAAAATCTTGTGGAAAATTCTTGAGAAATGAGAGAGCAAATTTTGGGGTACAACAGCTGCCCCTGTTCAATCTTCTTAAACCTGAAGAGTTAGATTGGCAAGTCTGCCATTCGTGACTTGAAGATGGAAGATGATTGAACACTAAAGTGCCCAAAAATTTACACTCAATGATGTGTTAGTTGACTGTGTAGGGAATGGGCTTAGAGATGCCATTCAGAGTGACTGGGGAAGGTATCAGGATAAATCTCTTGGTTGATTTAAATTGAAATGGTAGATGTCTTTTTCCTATTGATTTTCCTGCAAGGAAAAGGATTAGTTGCATGCAGATGTATGCATGGCGTGATGATGTTCTCAAAATAAACGAGATTATGCTGTATGCATTTGTCATGTATGCGTTATGGTTTATGAATGTGATGCGTTTATTGCAGCATGTCCATGTCTAGGAAATTGAATCCTCAACGACGTGCTGGGGAGCCTTGGGAGGATGAATCACGAATTGTTGTTGGAGAGTAATAGTATCTTTAACTTTGTTTAGAATGTTTTCGCTGGAAATCCCCATTTTATTGTTTTGAGGAGAAATCCGTTGGGGAATATTGACTTTGGATCTTTGCATGAGGAAGCTCTGTGGGGGAGTGTTGATTTCAGCTTGGAGGAATAAAGTTCAGGAATTTTGGTTGTCCATTACTCTACTGTGGGATTATTCCTGACTAGAGAGCATCGAAAGTTGGTTGTTATCTGGTGGAAATCGAGGCTTGGCAGCAATTTGTTGAGGATAATGAAGTTGATTGTCATCTGGTCGTATTCCAGGCTTCGTAGTGACTTGCAGGGGAAAATGTGAATTAAACTATTATCTGGTTGTAATTCAGGCTTCGCAGAAAATTGCTTGGGAGAGTAAAGTTAAACTATTATCTGGTCGGATTCCAGGCTTCGCAACAACTTACCAACTTTGAACTACTATCTGGTCGGGTTCTAGATTTCGCATATTTCTGAGGTGGATGAAGTTAATTGCTATCTGGTCGAGCTCCAAGCTTCACAATAACTTTCTTTAAAAGATGAAATTGAAACTAATATCTGGTCGAGTCCAGGCTTTGCAGTAACTCGCTTGAATTTTATTATTATCTGGTCGGATTTCAGGCTTCACAACAAATTTCTGAGGGAGTGAAGTTAATTGATATCTGGTCGAACTCCAGGCTTGATAATAACTTTCTTGAAAAGATGAAATTGAAACTAATATCTGGTCGGGTCCAGGCTTTGCAGTAACTTGCTTGAATTTAATTGTTATCTGGTCAGATTTCAGGCTTCACAACAAATTTTTGAGGGAATGAAGTTAATTGCTATCTGGTCGAACTCCAGGCTTCACAATAACTTTCTCGAAAAGATGAAATTGAAACTGATATCTTGTCGGGTCCAGGTTTTTCAATATCTCGAGAAGTAAAACTATTATCCGGTCGGGTCCAGGCTTCATAGTATCCTCAGAAGTTAAACTATTATTTGGTCGGGTCCAGGCTTCATAGTATTCGAAAGTTGTTTAAGTAGGAAATGATTCCGTTGAGGAGTGTATTGTTTTGTTTGGGGAATAAACCACGTTGAAGAGATTATTTGATGACATGCTGGCAAGGTGAATTCTGTAGGAAGAAATCCACAAGACTTCCTCTTTTAAGACCAACTCAGCTGGGGAGAGGGTTGTCAAGAGATTGAGACTCTGACTGAGGTTTGCCTAAATCCAACTTTATGGGCAACTCTGTTGGGGCAAAGGTTTATTGTAACAGGCTCTTTGGGGATAATGCTAATGAGATAACTATGTGGGATATCTCAACAACATTAAACAGATGCTCGTTGATGCTTGGTGGTACAGATTTTCTAAATAGTTTAATTATGTTCATATGCATATGTTCGTTCAATTTTAGTCATTGGACATCTTTGCACTCAAAACAAAAACAAAAAATTTTGCACTTCAAAGTATATTTGTATTGGTGTTTTGCCCGTGAATAGGTGTTTTTATACAAAGAGACGGAGATCCTAGTAAGAGAAAATCGTCGAAGGGAAAACAAAATTGAAAACAAAGATAACAGCCATGTGGAAATGATCTTGTTGTGTTCCAACTCTACTATTGCCCCAATGTCTTCGAACGTCCTTTGTCGTTAACAGAAGTTGATTGGATTGATCTTGGACCATTTAAACTTGGTTCTTAGTAATAAAGTTGACTATGGTGATTCCACGGGACATAGTCATACACTTTTAATCCTTAATTTTTGCCTGGACTGCCCTTTCGGGTTTCCAGCCCACCAGGATACCCATTTTTGCCCAACTCGCCCTTTTGGGTTTTCAACTTGTCGGGTGTACAATCTTTTGCATATATCCCTAATTTTTTCCCAAACCTTTGGTTTGTCGGGATGCCCATATCTTTCCTAGGTATGTTAACCTAGCGGGTCTCTTATGCATAGTATTTTTTAACTATGTTCGCGTTCACAGGATGCAGGAAATCTTCACCGTCCATAGTAGTCAGGATCATGGCACCACCAGAGAAAACTTTCTTGACAACAAATGGCCCTTCGTAAGTGGGAGTCCATTTTCCCCTGGGGTCGCCTTGTGGAAGAATGATGCGCTTTATTACCAAGTCACCAACTTGATATACTCAAGGCCTGATCTTTTCGTTGAAAGCCTTGATCATACATTTTTGGTACATCTGACCATGACAAACAACAGTCAATCGCTTTTCATCGATCAAGTTCAACTGATCTAATCTTGTCTGAATCCATTCGTCTTCGCCTAATCCTGCTTCATTCATAATCCTTAGAGAGGGAATCTGAACTTCCACTAGCAGAATAACTTCCATGCCATAGACCAAAGAAAAGGGAGTTGCCCTGGTTGATGTCTGAGTTGAAGTACGGTATCCATGAAGAGCAAACGGTAACATCTCATGTCAGTCCTTGTAGGTTACTACCATCTTTTGCACAATCTTCTTAATGTTTTTGTTGGCTGCTTCCACTACGCCATTCATTTTAGGTCTATAAGGAGAAGAATTGCGATGCTTGATTTTGAACTGAGTACAAAGTTCAGTAATCATAGCATTGTTGAGATTGGTCCCATTGTCGGTGATGATCCTTTCAGGGATACCATAGTGGCAGATGAGGTTATGTTTGATGAATCTGGCTACAATGTTCTTTGTGACTGAGGAAAATGAGGCGACTTCGACCCATTTAGTGAAATAATCTATAGCGACCAGAATGAAGCGATATTCATTGGAAGCAGTAGGTTTAATATCTCCAATCATGTCAATGCCCCACACTTCAAATGTCCACGGAGCAATCATGACATTTAGAGGAATATGAGGCACATGGACCTTGTCGGTATAGATTTGGCACTTATAGCAAGTGTGATACGGTGGGAGAACTGACTAGTGTTTTGCGTTCGTATTCGCACTTGTGCGGTTAGCAAGAGTCGCCACCGACTTTTTATTTTATCCTAAAGGAAAGGTTAAAAAAAGCACAGCAAAAACCTTTTGAGATATTTCGTGGGTTCGGGGGGTA